TTCCCGACATGTTGGAATCAACCGTGAGGCAGCTTGCCGGAACCGACCGAGACGCCAAGACCGATGCCTACATGATGCTCGTTCGCGCTCTGCAAGCTTCCAACAACTTGCCCGACAGAGTGGCCCTGCAAAGCAAAATGGGTCTCTTTGTACAGTTTATTCAGCGTGACATTGTCGCCAAAACGCCTGCTGGCACTTCTGATTCGCCTCTTGTCAGCAAGGCCCTCACTCTTCTCGACACTTTTCTCTTCTTCCCAGCGATTGCTTCGACGATACCCAGCGACTTTGGCATTTTCATTGTTGACCATTGCATCCGATCATTCGAAGACCCGGCGCTACCCAAGGATCTGGCACGGCGCCTGATGCACGTCATGGCAAAGCAGGATTTCCCCCTGAGGGTCATGACGTCCGACCGCATCAAGAGGCTGGTGAGCGCGCTTCACGCCATGGATGGCCCTTCAAGGGGCAAGATGGTCGTTGTTTCCCGCCTCAGGATCTACGCTCGGCTCATGATACAGACCAAAGCGTACATGGCCGTGCATACCGAGTGGCTCAACGATGTCTTGACAGACATGTTGAGCAGCGTTAAAGACGTCAGAAACTCAGCTATCAAACTCGGGTTCGAAGCATCCTTTGTGTTTGGGAGAGAAAAGCTTCTTCAGCGCAAGTTCATGGACCTCCTTGAAATGTCCATCGAGGAGATGACCTACATCGAGTGGTACCACGCACAGCTTCAAGAAATGATCAAGGGTGATAGCCAGGACAAGGCCGCCGTCCCCAAGATATGGAGTGTCATTATCCTTCTTCTTCAATACCCCCTCAACAAGTGGCGTTACTTCAACCCCTCCCTAATGATTATCCAGAAATGCTTCAACGTCGCTGAGTCGAATCGCGAGGCCAATTACGCCTGGAATCGCTATGTCTACACGGCGCACCTCGACGAACCGACTTTCCACAAGGTCCTACCGACTCTCTTCATGCCGCTCGCCAGCCAGCTGAGCAAATCAACCGTCTCGCCGGTGAAGCGTGAGCTTGTCATGGGTGGTTTGTGTAACCTCTACTACTACGCTTTCAAACCCAATACAAACCCAGCCCACCTTGACGCCTACTGGGACGTGAGCGTCCAACCTCTCACAGATGCCCTTGTTCCATCGGCAAATATCCCTGACACGCTGGACCTCCATCTTCAACGTGCGACAGCGATCTTGATTGGTTTGCTAGACTCCTCCACCTTGCGTATCTGGCGGGATGACCGTATCAAGGACAGCCCGACAGCGAAGCCCGAAGAGCTGCCCGTGATTGATTCCAAATGGGTCCGACGCAACGCCCCACGAGTCTTCAAGGTCATCAGCCCGATAATGGACAAGCACTTTTGTCAACTAGCAGATCGAACAAGCTCGATCCACAAGCTCTGGCGAGCATTGGTGGGCTCAGTCGCCTTTGCGGCATCCAAAGAGATCAAGGTTTCGACCGACACCGCTACATTCGTCTCTGAGATGTTCGGCCTGCTTCTGAAGCACTGGCAGACTGGCATTTCAACAGAAGGAGACACGACTGAGACAGCGCGGCAATTCATTCGTGCTGTGCAGGAAATGGTCCTGACGGCAGTCGAATCCCTTGGCCTACTACCCTTTACCGAAAAGATGATCTCCCTGGGACGACTAAGCAGCTTTATTCCCGTTGCCACCCCATCTCATCGGCCTGGGAAGAACCTCGGTGATGTGCGTTCGCCACTACAGCATCTTTTCGGACTGTTCTCAAGACTGCCACCAGGCATCCCTGACGACGAAACCTACCTCGAATTTCTGCGCGCTGTTTTCTCGCCCTTCTTTTCGACCACCAAGTCGGCCAAGGCTCGGTCTGAGCTCGCCACAGAGATGCTGCAGGCTGTCCCCATCTGGTCTCCTACCACATCTTTCTACCCTTATGGACCTTGGGTGCTCGCTTCGGAAAGCATGATCGCCGCAATGAGTATATCACAAAGCAGCATTCAGACAACCAGCTCGAGCGGCGATGTCATTCTTGGACACGAGTACCGATCCATTGCCAGGATGCTTGAAAGGGGGTGGAAAGAGACACCTAATCTGCCACTCAATTACTGGAATGAGTTGTATACAGCCCTAGCTAACCGTGCGGTTGAAGAGGTTGGCGAGCCTGGCAAGGCCATTGGTGTGATCGAGCCATTAGCCAAGATGATCAGGGAAACTCTTCCCGCTGATTCGTCTATGGCTTTGCCACCCAATGCCTTCCGTGTTGCAACCGAGCTACTTTCTTCAGCAAACCATCCTCAAGATCGACATGCTCTGGAGGCAGCACGGCGCCGCGTATGGGGGACAGCTGTTACCGGGTCAAGAGGCCCATCGTTCGACCCTTTCGACCATCTTTATCAGCTCGTTGACCATCTTTTGCTGCACTTTTATGCCCTCGGCAGTTTGGAAGGTCTCGCTGAGGTCGCCACGCCTTTCTTTGAGGAAATCTCCGACTTTTTGCTCCGTTGCAACCCAGTCCTTGTCCTCCGCACAATCACCAACCTGGAGAGCGGCATCTCGGTGTGGATTCAGGACCAGCAAGGTATTTTGAGCAGCCGTCGTGATGGGGCTCAAACCGAAGCTGTAAGTGGACGTGGCTGATGAGACACAGAAGAAGAACTGACAAAGAACTAGGTCAAAAAACTTTGGACTACGGTCTGCAGCACGATACTCTCCGGGGAACAACCTCAACTTGAATCTTTTGAGATGCTGCTCTGCGCTGGCTTCGAGAGCAAACACCGCCAAATCGTGAACACTGCCGCTGAAGCGTGGAACCGCGTTTTTGAGGCTGCTGGTGATGTACAATACCCGGAAAGGCTGAAGGCTGTGCTCCTCTCCTCCCAGTCAGTTCTCGACCTGGTTCTTCCCGGCCTCCAGATTCCCAGCATACCCTCCGAATCCCACAACCGATCTTTTGTCGACTCCCAAGTCGACGTGCCGGCAGCGATTTCGTCGTCTTCGCGATCGTCTCGCCGGGGCGTTCTGACTTCATCAAAGTCTCGCCAGCTTGCGTCTTCGAGTCCAGCTAGGTTGAACCTGGCGGCAAAACAGCTATCAAGCAGTACCCCGAAAAGGACACGAAGCAGTGCCCGAAGCACGCCGAAGTCCCGACTGAGGCACGACGACTCGCAGCTTCACTTCACACCCGTCGAATCCTCGCCGCTCGCTGGGGCCCAGGAATCCCAGATTTTGACGGAACGACAGCAGGAGGTCAGAGAGAGGCAGAAGGATGCTGCCGCCATCTTCCCCGGCCTCAGGAGTAGTCCTCTGAAGCACGAGGCGGCGGCGGCCCAGCAGTCATCGTCCAAGGTGACTGCAGCCGAATCACGTAAGCAAAGACAGCGAGA